CTCTGGGCCTGGGCGCTGTCCCTCAGCTCTTCAGCTCAAGGTTAGCACTCTACCACTTGAGCCACAGCGCCACTTCCGGCTTTTTTCTTTTTGTTTATGTGGTGCTGAGGAATCGAACCCAGGGCCTCATGCATGCAAGGCAAGTGCTCTACCACTGAGCCACCTTCCCAGCCCGGGTCTTGATCTTTTTACCCAGAGTTCCTTTCAGTCTCTACTTCCTGAGGAGCTGTAGGATTTACAAGTGTGAGTATTTTGGCTTGGCATTATTCTCAGGATGAAGCTCTATTACTTGAGCCATAATTCCACTTCTGGTTTTTTGTTGGTTAATTGGAAATAAGAGTTGTAGATTTTACTGCCCCAGGCTGGCTTTTGAACCATTATCCTCAGACTTCAGTCTCCTGTGTATCTAGGATTACCACTCTGCAACTGGCTGAGATATTTTTATATAGGAATATAATGTACTTCACATCACCATCTCCCTCATCACCATCTTTTTCCCCCTTTTTTCCCTCTTAGATGTTCCAACACATAATAACAACAACAACAACAAAATGCACCATTTAATTAGACCTTAATGTTAATGTTGCTTAAACTCAGGAGGCCTGGGCACTGTCCCAGAGCTTTTTCACTCAAGGCTAGTTCTCTACCACTTAGAACCACAGTTCTACCTAAAGTTTTCTGGTAGTTTATTGGAAATAAGAGTCTAATGGCCTTTCTTTCCTGCTTGGCCTGGCTTCGAGCATCTTTCCTCTGATCTCAGCCTCCTGAGTAGCAAGGATTACAGAGCCATCAGCACTGGCTAATTTTACTTTTTAAAATCTATGTTCCAGATATGAGGGAAAACTAGCAGTATAATTGGTGCTTAGGATTGCCCTAGCTGTCTTTCATATGAAGTTTATGGTTGATTTTTCTATTTCTATGAAGAATCACTTTGGAGTTTTGATGGGAATTGCAGTGTGTGTACAGATCCCTTCAGTTGTTTAGCTATGAGCTTAAGAGGTCTTTCCATCTTCTAGTGTCTCCTTCAGTTTCTCTTTTCAGTGGTTTACAGTTTTCATAGCAAAACTCTTTTCTCCAAGTTATTCCTACTTTTTTTTGAGGGTATTGTGAATGGAATTGTTTTTTCTGTATGTAGAAAGCTGTTGGGGGCGGGAGTTGTATCCTATTACTTTGCTAAAGTGTTTATTAGATATAGGAGGCTTCTTTCGGCTTTTTTAAGCATAGGATCATAGCTGCTAGGAGGGATAATTTGACTTCTCTTTATATAGCCTTCTATCTCTTTCTCTGGCTTTTTTATCTCTTTTTCTGCTCTAAGAAATCTTTGCATTAAACATCTTTAAACAGATCTGTAAAGAGCATAAACTAGAAGTGAATGTGTGGCTCAAGTGGTAGAATGAGGGAAAAAGCCAAGAGAGTGAGGCAGAGTTCAAGCTTCAAATATGGGGACAAAGCCGGGCGCTGGTGGCTCATGCCTATAATCCTAGCTGCTCAGGAGGCTGAGATCTGAGGATCCCGGTTCAAAGCCAGCCCGGGCAGAAAGTCCATGAGACTCTTATCTCCAATAAACCACCAGAAAACCGGACGTGGCACTGTGGATAAAGTGGTAGAACGCTTGCCTTGAGCTGAAGAGCTAAGGGACAGCACCCAGGCCCAGTGTTCAACAAAAAAAAAAAAAGGGAGGGGGACACGAAAAGAAAATTTGTTTGTCGTTTGTATTGCCTTTTTGTAGTCTTTTGTCCTTGTTTTTTTTTTTAATTGGCTTATTTGTTTTCTACTGACTTTTCAGTGCTTAGGCACTGTCCCTGACCTTTTTTGCTCAAGTCTAGCACTCTATCACTTGAACTACATCTCTACTTCTGACTTTTTGCTGGTTAATTGAAGAGAAGAGTCCTATAGATTTTCTTGTCCAGCTGGCTTTGAACTGCATTTCTCAGATTTCAGCCTCTTGAGTAGCTAGGATTATAGGTGTGAACCGCTGGTGCCTGACTTATAGCTCTCTTTTTTAAGCAGGATCACCTTGTATTTCCCAGACTGATCTGAAACTTTGACCTTTGAGGCTTTAGATGAATTGCTATTCTGTAAAACTAATACTGAAATTAATTTTACAATGAGGAAAAATCTGGGCAGATTAAACAATGAGAACTCAATCTGTATGAGGATAATCTACTTTATATTTTGCAATACTGGGGTTTGAACTTATAGCCTGACCCTTGGTAAGTAGGTGTCTTACCATTGAACACAGCTCTAGTCCTTTTCGTTGTGTTGGTTATTTTTTTTGTTGAAGGCGGGGGGAGTTGGTTGTGGGGCTTGAACTCTGGGCCTGAGTGCTGTCCCTCAGCTTTTCAGCTTAAGACTAGCGCTCTACCACTTGAGCCACAGCTCTGCTTCCAGCTTTTTCTGCTTATGTAGTGCTGCGGAATCTAATTCAGGGCCTCATGCATGCAAGGCAAGCGCTCTACCACTGGCCACCTTCCCAGCTCGTGTGTTGGTTATTTTCAAGTTAGTGTCTCACTTCCTGCCCAGGAATATGCTTAGGTCATATCACCCTATTTTAGGCTTGCTGTCATAACTACAGGCTTAAGACAGCTCATCCAACTCCCATTGAGAAGTCCAGAAAATACAAACCTTTGTCCATGTTGGCCTCAGTAATCCTTCCAGGTAGCTATGATTACAGACTTGAGCCACCAGTCTTTCCTGCCCGGGCTGGCTTTGAACCATTACCCTCAGATCTCAGCATCCTGAGTAGCTAGGATTACAGGCCACCGGTTCTGGGCTACTTTTAACTTTCTTAAAAGCAGTAACATTATTCAACAATTTGTATTTTTCTTTTTTTCTTTCTTTTTCTTTTTTTTTGGGGGGGAGGAGGGGGTCCGGTCATGGGGCCTGAACTCTGGGCCTGGGCGCTGTCCCTCAGCTCTTGAGCTCAAGGCTAGCGCTCTACCACTTAAGCCACTTCCGGCTTTTTTCTTTTTGCTTATGTGGTGCTGAGGAATCTAACCCAGGGCCTTGAGCATGCAAGGCAAGTGCTATACCACTGAGCCACCTACCCAGCCCAACAATTTGTATTTTTCATTCAGTTATCATTCTCTTTCTTTCCCTATTGATCAGCAGAGATTTGACACATTTTTTTAGTGGATATATGTAGATGTGTATGTATCAAGATGTTTTTATGAAGTCATAGATATTTGCACTACTTTTCTGTAGACAAGTAGCTACAATGAGCATATATTAAGTTTCAAACTTTGTTTCTAGGTCTCATGCTGTTGCATGTGTCAATCAGTTTATCATCAGTAGGACTCAAGCTCTGATGTTGCACATTGATTCTTTTATCGAGGTAAGCTTTACTTTATGTATTCTTTAGCTTAAATAACACTTAACTATATATGATTTTATTGTAAAATAACTTCTATCAATGTTCAGTTATTTTGATAGTATCAGAATTGGATATGGTACAGATTTAGTTTTTGCCAGCTAAAAGTAAAAGCACTTTTTCTTTAATTTTTTTTATTTAAGTCATGATACAAACATGGACTACAAGATATTCATGTTTGGCTGTTTAATACCTTGATTAAGGTATTTTTTCCCCTCACTATTCAAATTCTGTATAAAAATTGAATCCTCCAGCTCATATATTGTTTTGAGACATGAAAAGTTGGTGAAGTTGGATAAAGTTAACTCAGCAAAGAATCTGAAGTTCACATGGTACTGCTGGCTCAAGTTTCTAGCTACTTAGATGGCTGATTCCTAGAGGCTTTCTCTTTGAAGCCAAGCTGGACAGAAAAGTCTACAAGACTAGCTTCAATCAATCAGCAGGAAGCTGTGTTAGAGGGATAACTTAAATGGTAGAACATCAGCCTTAGCAACCCAAGCAAATGTGAGCCCAGAGTTGAAACTTCAGTACTGGAGGGAGAAAAAAAAGACGAGCTGAAAAGAAGTTTCAACCAAATTTCAGTTGATAAAATACACTTGTAAAAGTGCCTAAGGAGTCTTCATAGCACTTTTAATTGTTAATAGGCTGCATGGTTTTGTTATGTTGGGAGCACACAGCCTTTCAAAAACAATTTAAACAGACTTTTTAGGTGGTCCCCTTTTCTCTTGGGAGCTCATAACCCTTGAGAAGCCCCCCCCCCACCACATTTATCTCTTTCTCAGCCTTCCAGCCCTCAAAATGTAGCTATTATCTATTATTTTAGGCCAATTTAGTCTTTTTTGTTGTTTTATAGTCTTAGATTTAAAAAAAAAAACCTCCCTTGAAGAATACTTATATAACTTTAAATAGTATAATTTTTTCTAATATATTTGAATTTTTGAACTGAAAAAATTATTTCTGTGCAATAGAATCTCTTTGCACTGGCTGGTGATGAAGAACCAGAGGTGCGGAAAAATGTGTGCCGGGCACTTGTGATGTTGCTTGAAGTTCGAATGGATCGTCTCCTTCCTCACATGCACAATATTGTTGAGGTAATACAGCTTAAAGGTTTTCGTCCTTTCTTTGTCTCCCTAGAAAAATATGGAACATAAAATGTGTTTATAGAACACATTTAGAGGAATATAAAAATAGTTGTGGTTGTCTTAAAATTATAAATTATCTTATTGTTATTGTTCTTTCATGAGGTTTAAGATTTGGAGAACTGGGCACTGATGCCTCATGCCTGTAATTCTAACTACTCAGGAGACTGAGATTTAGAGGGTCACTGTTCTGTGCTAGCTCACGCAGAATAAAGTCTGTGAGACATTGTCTCAAACTAGCAAAAAGCGGGGCTAGAGGCATGGTTTCAGTGGTAGAGTCAGCTGAATAAGTATGCTGAGCAAGTATAAGGCTGACTGTCTTAGTTATGCTGATCAATGTAGTCATATTTTGAAAAAAGGATTCAAAGATACTTTAGAACAGTTATTGTTTACCGACAATATCCAACTTTACCTTGTTTTTTTTTTTTGTTTTTTGTTTTTGTTTTTTCATATTACTGAGTATAGTCAATAGTATTAAGTGGCTTTGTAAGTGCTTTGAATAGTACACACCTGTGTGAAGTTCTGTATTGTGTGGCCTGGGAGGAGTTTTAAAGAATGGTGGTTAAAATGTATTAGAAGGAGGATAACAACTTTTGTTCTTAGAACAAAGATATGTTTCACCATGCAGTGGAGATAGTTGTGGTTTCCCTGATAGCCTGCCTATTCTCTTTGAAAAGTCAGATGGGATTGGTTGAAGTTTTACTGAAACAGTTTGGAATTAAACAAACTTTTTAATAATTTTGACCTTTTTCCAGATCACCTGGGGAGCCTTATTTATTTATTTGTTCTTTGTTTATTCAGCAATCCCCAGCAGTGTTAGGAATAGGACATGATCTGGTACAGTATGTAGTAGTATAGTTGTAATCTCCAAAAATGTTGCTACTTATTCCAAATTTAAAGGATTAATTTGTACAGTTAAATGTGTATGTTTTGAAAGTCTGTATTTCATAGTCATATTAGAAGATACAACATGAGTTTTGTTACAGAAAAGGATTCTTTTAAGAAATAGTAGAGTTCCTAATTTCTGAGGCCCATTGTTCAATTATTAACATTTGCCCAGAAGCATAAGTAATTTATGGAATGAGCGTCTTATTGGTTACATTTTAGAATTAACCTAGGAAGCTTTAAACAACAACAAAATCCAAAAGCCTAGGTAGAAAGCCATGCTAAAATACATGTAGGATTCAGTTCATAGTAATGTACATATCGCTTCAACTGATTAATATTAAGGTTTCTGTTTATAGTACATGCTACAAAGAACCCAAGACCAAGATGAAAATGTGGCTTTAGAAGCCTGTGAATTTTGGCTTACTTTGGCTGAGCAGCCAATCTGCAAAGATGTACTCATAAGACATCTTCCCAAGTAAGTGTTCCTACTTATAAATGCTTCCTTGTTCTTAAATATCTTAACAGTGCTTTCTCTTTTATATGCACATAAGATTATTTTTTCTTACATCAGGGAATGAGATTTTTAAAGAAGTCAAGCTTAATTTATTTTTTTTTTGTCGGTCATGGGGCTTAAATTCTGAGCCTACGCACTGTCCCTCAGCTCTCAGTTCAAGGCTAGTGCTCTGCCACTTGAGCCACAACACTACTTCCAGTTTTCTGGTGTTTAATTGGAGATAAGAATCTCCTGCTGGGGCTGACTTTGAACTGCAGTCCTCATATCTCAGCTCCTGAGTAGCTAGGATTACAGGTGTGAGCCACCAGCACCCAACGGCTTGTTTTTATAGATTAATAGCTCAGAGTGTTTGTATGGATTATCCAAACACCTAGCAAATATTTAAGCACTCAGTTCACATTTGTTGTATTAAAAACCCTTGTTCCTAAAAACTCTATGAGCCTCCAGGAGAAAGTTGCTTAATAATTAAACCTGTTCAAAAATAATCTGCCTAGTGAATTGGTCTAGCACATGGTAGATTGCCATCATGTGTTCATAGAAAACACACTCATCTATTTCATTTCCTTTGTTTTTTTTTCCTAAGTTAGATAGTCTAACTCTAAAATATGTCTCCATCTGTGTGTGTGCACACGTGTGCGCACTCTCTTTTTTTTTTTTTTTTGGTCGTGGGGCTTGAACTCTGGGCCTGGGCGCTGTCCCTCAGCTCTTCAGCTCAAGGTGAGTGCTCTACCACTTGAGCTACAGTGCCACTTCCGGTTTTCTGGTGGTTTAGTGGAGATAGGAGTCTCACGGTCTTTCCTGCCCGGGCTGGCTTTGAACCGCGATCCTCAGATCTCAGCCTCCTGAGTAGCTAGGATTACAGGCATGAGCCATCAGCGCCCGGCCACACTCACTCTTATTGAAATAGTATCTTGGTTTTTTTTGCCCAGCCCCACACTTGGACTGCGATCCACTTATTTGAAATTTGTTATCTTAGCTGGGATGACAGGTGTATACCACTACAGCTAGCTTCTTGTTTGGAATTAGGAGTCTGGGCTTTTTTTTGCCCAAGCTGGCCTAGAAAGATCCTCCCCAATTGCAATTACTCACATAGTTGAATGACAGTTACATGCCATTATGCCTGCTATTTGTTTTGAAGGGGGTCTCTTTAAAGGCATAGGCTGTTTCAAATCATGATTCTCCCAATCTCAGCTTCCCAAACAGCTAACCTGAAAGATGTGAGCTAGTGGTTCCTAGCTTAATCTTACATTCTTAATTTGCCTGGCTTTACATGTCCCTCCTTCTCACAAACTTTAGTGAGCCCATCCACCATCCTAAGTGAGGAGAACCTTTGATCTCTTTTTAGTCTTTCAATCTCACATTCTTCCTCTTTTTTCTTTCTTTAACAAGATAGCCATAACCCCAAATGGCCCATATTGGCTAAATTTCCAGCTACCCTGCATCTGTCATTGCTACTCTAGATTATTGAATTTATTCTTGCTTCTTAGAACAGGTGGTTGAATGCTATTAGGAAAAGTTACACTACTTGGGGGATTAATAGCTATAGAAATATATGTTGTTTACTCTCTGTCAATCTTTGTTCCAGATCTGCTTTTACATTCCATTTACCAGCTCAACTTTGTCAAACGTTATCACACTTGGACATAGTTTTCATTCATTTTGAGCACTTCTGCTTTCTAAAGAAAAAGATGGGTTAATCTGGCCTAAACTTAGTAGATTTTCTTGTGGGGTTCTTCCCTACCTAAGCAGTTTTGCTACTTTAGGTCTGATAACATAATGATTTTTTTGTCTTGTTTTTTTCTTATTTCCAAAGAAGGGTCTTTAGTCCATCAGATAGATTTTTCACTTTTTTTCCTCTTACTCCTTTGCCATAGCTTTAACTTGCTGTATTTTTTCTCTCTCAAAAAAGTAAAGGAAAAAAAAAATAGCTGGCTGCTGGTGACATATGCCTGTAATCCTAGCTACTAAAGAGGCTGAGATCTGAGGATTGCGATTCAAAGCCAGCCAGGGCAGAAAAGGCCATGAGACTCTTATCTCGGATTAACTACCCGAAAACCTGAAGTGGCTCTGTGGCTAAAAGTAGTAGCGTGCTAGCCTTAAGCAACAATGCCCAGACCCTGAGTTCAAGCCCCCCAACAGACAAAAAAAAAGTAAAAAATAAAGAATAGATGAGGCTTACTATCTCAGGTCTTTAACCCACATCTTTGTTGAATATTCAGTATCTCATAATCTGACATCTCACCATTTCCCTGAAATTAAACTTTGTGTTAGTCAGCAAAGTAGACCTGGGTCTCCTATACAATATATGTAACTTACAAAAAATGGTTCTCTGCACTATAAATCCCACATAATTGTATTACCATTAGTCTTTCCAGAAGAATTTTGAGTATGAAAATTTGGCTGGCCTATATTTCCTAAACCTATCCAGCAAATTTTAAGTCTTGCTGCTTTTTTGCCCTGTTAGTATTCCTTTAATGAGGGCAGGCTTTACTAAATATGGTTAAAGACATTATTTCTCATGCTTATCTCAATAGTGCAGTAGTATATAAGGTTTTAAGACTTCTTAATTATTCTGTTGAGATCTTTAAATTTTTATTTTGTTTATGTCTTTATAGGTTGATTCCTGTTTTAGTAAATGGCATGAAGTACTCAGATATAGATATTATCTTGCTTAAGGTAAGAAAAAGCAATGTTACTTATTTGGATTAATCTTTAATTATTTTATTTATTTATTTTTGTTGTTTTGATGCCGGTCCTAAGTCTTGAACTCATGGCCTGACTGCTGTCCCTGTGCTCTTCAACTCAAGGCTAGCACTCTCCACTTGAGCCACAGACCACTTCTGGTTTTCTAGTAGTTTATTGGAGATAAGAGTCTCAGGGACTTCCCTACCTGGGCTGGCTTTGGAGGACTTTGAAGGGCGATCCTCAGATCTCAGTCTCCTGAGTAGCTAGGATTACAGGGGTGAGCCACCAGTGCCTGGCTGTCCCTGAGTTTTATAGCTCAAGGTTAGTGCTCCACAACTTTAGCCACAGTTCCACTGCTGGAATTTCTGCCTACGTTGGCCTCAAACTGTAATCCACAGATCTCTAACCTCGTGAATAGATAGGATTATTGATGTGACTTAGTAAATCTTTAAATTGAACAACTTTTTTTTGGGGGGGGGCAGTCCTTGAACTCAGGGACTGAGCACTGTCCCTGAGCTGCTTTTTGCTCAAGGCTGTACTCTACCACTTGAGCCATAGTACCACTTCTAGCTTTTTCTGTGTATGTGGTACTGAGGAATCAAACCCAGGGCTTTATGCATGTAGAGTAAGCACTCTACCTGTAATGCTGCATTCCCAGCCCCCAAATTTGTTTCTAATAGGTCCTACATAAAAGAGCTTCCTATTTTACATAATCTATAAAATGCATAATGAACTTGGTTGGTAATAAATTCTAGCTTAATTGATTCTAGACAGGGATAATAATGCTCTCCTTATTTTCCTGTGACTTAAACTACTTTTTTAATAGGCTGATCTGAATATGGTTCGAGTACTCTTAGATCATCCCAGCTAATAGTACAGTTGAAAAGGGTAGATGTATAGCAGATTCTCTTTTTCATAAGGAACTGTTTTCAGCACAGGGCATCCTCAGAAAGAATCCTGTACGTAACCACATCACATAATGTTCTGATTCTTTTACTCATCAGTTTTTAATGGCTGTCATTAAACGTTTTTCTGATAAAATACAGGGTTGGTTTTTTTTTTTTTTTTTTTTTGTCATGGGGCTTGAACTCTGGGCCTGGGCGCTGTCCCTCAGCTATTCAGCTAAGGCAAGTGCTCTACCACCTGAGCCATAGCACCACTTCCAGTTTTTTCTGCTTATGTGGTGCTGAGGAATCTAACCTAGGGCCTCATGCATGCCAGGCAAGCACTCTACCACTGAGCCACCTACCCAGCCCCAATACAGATTTTTTATTTAAGTAGGTATACAAAAATGTTTTAGTTGGACATGTCAGTTTATGAGCACAGTGCATTGTTTTCCCCATCTGATTGCTATTTTTTTTTTAATCATAGGGTGATGTTGAAGAGGATGAAACAATTCCTGATAGTGAACAAGATATAAGGCCACGTTTTCATCGATCAAGAACTGTGGCTCAACAGCATGATGAAGATGGAATTGAAGAGGAAGATGATGAAGATGATGAAATTGATGATGATGATACAATTTCTGACTGGAATCTAAGTATGTCGAAAAGCACAGTTGTCTACTTTGATCATTTTATTGGTTAAGTGTAGTAACATGTATCTGTAATCCCAGCATTAGGAAGTAGAAACAGAAAGATAGTGAATTTTGGGTCAGTCTGATATACATACTAAGATCCTTTCTGATAGAATAAATTGTTTTATTTTTGGTTTTTTATTAAGACACAATTCTTGGTCAGTTATGTACTTGTAATCCCAGCACTTGGTAGGATTATGAAGGCTAGAGACATAGCTCAATAGTAGAGCACTTACTAGCAAGCAGAAGGCCTTGAATACAGTCTCTAGTATCACAAGAACAGGAGTAAGAAACTATGGACATTTTGCAAGTGATACAAGACTGGCCTACAGGGATGGGAAGGGGAAACAAAGGCAACACTGCTTGATAAGAAATGTACTCATTACCTTGCTTATGTAACTATAACCCCTCTATACGGTATTTCCACAATTAAAAAAAAATTGATTCTGAAAAAAAAGACTGGCCTACCATGTGTAAGGGCCATAGGTTCACTCTCCAGTACTGAAAAACAAAAATGATAACAATTCACATACCTATACTGTTCACTCATTGATGTATGTAATTCAGTCAGGCTTTGATATATTCACAGAGCTAGCCAACCTTCACTATCATCACTTGTAGGACATTTTTATCAACCAAAAAAGGGAAATGATGTCTGTTGATGCAACTCCCTGATATGCCAGGGACTGGACTAGGCACTTTGAATACATGTCACATTTATAATCTTAAGTAAGTAAGGAAACTTGCAAAAAGAAAAACCTACTGAAGATTAACATAGATACTACTAATTGCACATCCATTATTGGAACTCATCTCATTCAACAAGATAATGTAAGATCTTCATTACTATTACATATTCCTTTATATCCCACATTCAGTTTGAAGGAGCAGGAATGATAATTATATCCCATTCATCTGTATATCCTTCAAAAAATATGTTCTTTGAGCTAGGAAGGTGGCTCAGTGGTAGTGTGCTTGCCTAGCATGCATGAAGCCTGGGTTCGATTCCTCAGTGCCATATACATAGAAAAAGTGGGAAGTGGTGCTATGGCTCAAGTGGTAGAGCGCTAGCTGTGAGCACAGAGAGGCTCAAGGACAGTGCCAGGCGCAGAGTTCAAGCTCCAGTACCAGCAAAAAAAAATTTTTTTTCTTTGTATATATGAAAAACTTCACATATGTATTTGGAGGTGAGGCCTAGTTTCCAAAAGTGAAATCAGAAAATATGTAATTTACTGTCGATTTTTTTGTATGTTATATCCTTCATTCTATATCAGTGCAAACAGATTTTCTTTTGTTGCATAAAAATACTAAGTGGAGAAACTTGTGGACACTATTTTTTTTCTTTTTTCAGAATTTTTCCATTGACTAAATTGTAGTTAGCCATTGTGCATGCCTAGTTCACACTAGAAAAATTTTGGCAGTTTAAATCCTTTATTTTCATTTTTGCTGACTTGTTACATTAATGAAGTCTGGGTTGATTCATAGTCCCATGGTTAATTTATTGTCTGTGAAGGATATTTTCTTCTGGATGATACTAAGGCTTGAACTCAAGGCCTTATGTTTGCTAGTTAGGTGTGTTATACTACATCCTTAACATTTTTTGCTTTAGGTACTTTCCAGCGAGGGTCTCAATTTTTGCTTGGGTTGGCCTGGGACTTATATTTTCCTATCTTTTGCACAGCTGAGATTTACAAGTATGTTTGTATCACCATGCCTGCCCTATTGGTTGAGGTAGGGTCTCTATATCCTAGGCTGCTCTTGGCCCATAATTTTTCCAATCTCTGAGTCCCTAGCATATTTTATGCTTCATAATGTTGACTTTTGTCCTAATTTATATGCCAACTTCCTGGCCTATGACTAAGTAATTATGTATTTGATTCTAAGTGATCTACCACTAGATAGAAATATTAAATAGAAATGTGTATATTTTGCTGCAAGATTGTGACTGTAGGAATCCTAGAAGCATTGAATTGAGCAGAACAGTATTTGTTTTATTATTTCTATATAGGCAAAAGAATTCTAATCTGGCATACATAGAGTATAAAATGTATATACTCAATTTGCTAATTTTTTTGGGGGGGTCCAGTTGTGGGGCCTGAACTCTGGGCCTGGGTGCTGTCCCTCAAGGCTAGCACTCTACCACTTGAGCCACAGAGCCACTTCTGGCTTTTTCCTTTTGCTTATGTGGTGCTGAGGAATCGAATCCAGGGCTTCATGCATGCAATGCAAGTGCTCTACCACTGAGCCACCTTCCCAGCCCCTCAATTTGCTAATTTTTGTTATGTTTATCAATAGAATTTTTCATGCAACTACCTCTTACTGGATTCTTTCTCTAAAACTATTAAAATATGGCTAGAATATTATACTTAAGATACTCTTAAATAATTAATATTGTTAAATATTTCCTTAGGAAAATGTTCTGCCGCTGCCCTAGATGTTCTTGCAAATGTGTATCGTGATGAGCTACTGCCACATATTTTGCCACTTTTGAAAGAATTACTTTTCCACCATGAGTGGGTTGTGAAAGAATCAGGCATCCTGGTTTTAGGAGCAATTGCTGAAGGTAAGTCCAGTTCGAATACTAAAGTTGTTGATGGGGACTAATAACAATAAGTTACTCCAAAGAACTATTGCTTAACAAGCAAAATCTTCACTCTGAATTCAAATACTAAATTGATTTCCCTTTTATAATGCAAGTATGGGATAAACAAGACTGTCATCTTAATTAACCTTAAAAAGGATGACTAAATACAAAAGCTACCTTAGGAAAATTTCTACCATGAACCAATTTTATTATTTATTTTGTCGGTCATGGGGCTTGAACTCAGCTTGAACTGCTGTCCCTGAGTTTTTTTCACTCAAGGCTAGTACCACTTGTGCCACAGTGCCACTTCCTGTTTTCTGGTGGTTAATTGGAGATGAGAGTCTCACGGCCTTTGCTGCCAAGGATGGCTTCAAACCCCAATCCTCATATCTCAGCCACCTGGGTAGCTAGATTACAGGCATAAACCACCAGCACCCAGCTACTATGAACCATTTTAACTCATATTAAGCTGCTTGTCCCAGCCAGATGTATTTGTTAGACTTGAAGAGATCAGAATAGATAACTGATATCTGAACCATCCCTGACAGAAAATAGTTTTATTCCCTTGGTTAGTTCAGGAAACACAATGCAAGAGTGTCACTATGCTCTTTATAAAGGGTTATTATTCATCCTGCATTTTATTGGCATTTTTGAACATTTTATAGTGAAGGTGAAGGTGTCCTGACCTTACTATAAAAGGAATACAGTTAAGTCTAATTTCAAATACTCTTCAATTTTGGTACCAGTTATTTTCATGTATTTATAGATATGGGGATATACTGAATATTTTTCATAGATGTATATGTCGTTTTTGTATTCAGTAAAACAGTTGTGTTTTAGCTATATTTAGCACCTTTGGAAGATGTCTGTCATTTTACTTTTTCCAGGTTGCATGCAAGGCATGATTCCATATCTACCTGAGCTCATTCCTCACCTTATTCAGTGCCTCTCTGATAAAAAGGCTCTTGTGCGTTCAATAACATGCTGGACTCTTAGCCGCTATGCACATTGGGTAGTCAGCCAGCCACCGGATACTTATCTGAAGCCATTAATGACAGAATTGCTAAAACGTATCCTGGATAGCAACAAGAGAGTACAAGAAGCTGCCTGCAGGTGGGACAAATTGATAACACTGTTCAATATGAGAATTGGTAATTCAGTGAAAGACTAAATCTCCATTCTGGTACAATGTTGATAATAAGCCATTATTGAAATATTCTTTAACAAAATTTGCCACCTATGAAAGGATGAGTAATATTCTATGCTTTTGTTGATGAAGTTTTTCAGGAGTGAACTGTAATTTGCACATTAGCATATTCTGTACATTTTCATTGATTGGAAAGTTGTTTATAGCTTTTGGTAACTTACAGTGTTACTCCTAACTACACATCAGCCTTTACATTCTTCCTCTGCTCATTCTTTTTCTGCTCAGTGAACATAACAATAGAATTAGCTTTTATCTCAGACAACAGAATGACAGTGTTTGAACAAATACACATCCTTAGTCTGTAGTTCCACTACAAGCTCCACAGAAAGTACTACAGACCTGTGTTTTGTCATTTTCTACTAAGCATTTTGGTGCTTAGAGAATTTGTACCGGAAGCCATTCTTTAGGGTAGTTTTGAGGCTATTCCTTTTTGTATCAGACTTATAGTTGCTTTCATTACTGCAAGTAGTTGTTCCTTGGAGCAAGTTATTTGTTTTTTTTGGTTGTTTTGTTTTTTTGTTGTTCATGGAGCCTGAACTCAGCCTGGGCGTTGTCCCTCAGCTCTTCAGCTCAAGGCTAGCACTCTACCACTTGAGCCAAAGCGCCATGTCCGCCTTTTTTTTGCTTATGAGGTACTGAGAAATCAAAGCATGCAAGGCAAGCACTCTACCACTGAGCTACCTTTCCAACTGGAGCAAGTTTTTATTCTGAAAAGGCCTACTACTTTCTATAACCCTTTTTCAAACTGGCTTTACCTTTTACCATTGGCTTGAAATCGAGGCTTCTGCTCTTGTTCAGCAACCATTGATTGCCTTTTTTACTGGGAATAATTAACCTTTGAAAAGAGGGAAAATAAATTTCAGTTGGACCTTACAGGATCTGAAGCAGTAATAGCAAGAAGAGTTACAATTTTTTAATAAGGTGAGAGAAAGTTGAGCAAGAAAGTTATGGTGATTGATAGCACTAAATATTTGTTTAATTTTGGGAGGATATAGATTGCTTTGTTTTCTGTAGTTTATTCAGTAGTTCAAAATTTCTATTTCCTGCTAATTGTTAGGCATATAATAAATTTGAGGGTGTCATCTTGAAATGTAATGACTAGTAAGAAATACTGAAGAACTGTGTATACCATTGTAATTTATGGTAAGGGTATGAAGAAAATGAACAGAGGGTTCAGGATAGGATTTTAATTTGGCTTAAGCCTGTCAGTTTCAGAATATGCCAAATTGGGTAGAAAAAAATATATAAACATATTCTGGAAATTAAGAACTAGAAGAGTCACAAAACTATTATTTGTCTGAATAGTCATACATAGCACTTTTATAGTAACAAATGGATTGTGTGCTGAGGCCTGACATAACATCTAAGGAGTGCGTGAATCTGATGTGTTCCCAATTATCTCGGACACTAAACAGCAAAGTGTTTTTGTTGTTTTGAAAGCCTTTTATGCATGTTGAAGGTATGAAGTAAAATGGAATATAGCTAGTCTAATTCTGTTTCATAATTTACAACAGACAAAACTCCCTAAGAATGGGTACATGCTGTTTTCTCAGCACTCTGACCTTATAGGTAATAAACCACCAAGTAAAGTTGCTCCGTGAGTAAAGAAGATGAGCCAATAGCATTGTAGTTTTAGGTTTTACCATGTATAACAGCTTGATAGAAAGAAAAGAGTGATAAGAAATGGGAAAAATAAGCATCTGGAGTAATGAGACATAGAGATGGGCATGATATAAAATATAAGTGACGTTCTATAAACAATAGACTTATTTTGGGTCTCTGTTAACTCTCTTGTACAACAATAAAATATTGCTCTCTTTAAAAAATTTTAGTGCCTTTGCTACACTAGAAGAGGAAGCTTGTACAGAACTTGTTCCTTACCTTGCTTATATACTTGATACCCTGGTCTTCGCATTTAGTAAATACCAGCATAAAAACCTGCTCATCCTCTATGATGCCATAGGAACATTAGCAGATTCAGTGGGACATCATTTAAATAAACCTGTAAGTATCTGTAAACGACTACTATGAAAGATGTATATAGCATAACCTAAAAACCATAGATAAAGCATGTTTGTGGAAATAAAAAAGACTTCAAAGTGGTAGAGTGCTTGCCTTGCATACATGAGGCCCTAGGTTTGATTCCTCAGCATCACATAAGCAAAAAGAAAAAAAAAAAACGGAAGTGGCGCTGTGGCTCAAGTGGTAGAGTGCTAGCCTTGAGCTAAAGAGCTGAGGGATAGCACCCAGGCCCCACAACCGGACCCCCCCCCCCAAAAAAAAAAAAGACTTCAAGAAATATGAACAATTTTTACTACTTTAAAATCTTAGCTGGGCGCTGATGGCTCATGCCTGTAATCCTAGCTCCTCAGGAGGCTGAGATCACAGTTCAAAGGCAGTACAGGCAGGAAAGTCCATGAGACTCTTATCTCCAACAAACCACCAGAAAACCATAAGCTCAAGTGGTAGAGCACTTGCCTTCAGCTGAAAAGCTTAAGGACAGCACATAGACCCAGAGTTCAAGCCCCATGGCTACAAAAACGAAAAATATAGATCTTAGCCAGCACTTGTGGCTCATGCTTGTAATCCTAGCTACTCAGGAGCTGAAATCTGAAGATCGTGGTTCAAAGCCAGCTCAGATAGAAAAGTCCCTGAGATTCTTAGATAAACTACTCAGAAAAAGCCAGAAGTGGCACTGAGGCTCAGGGATAGCACCCAGGACCTGAGTTCAAGCCCCAGGACCAGCAAAAAAAAAATATATATATATATACACACACTATGTTGAAAATGAACTATACAACTTGTGGGTAGGGCTAGGAGGGAAAACCTAGGAGAGAGCAAGGGAAGGGGTAACATTCTCCAAAAAGAAATACACTATTTACGTAACATCACCTTTGTAATAACAGTAAAAAAAAGAATTAAAAAAAAAAAAAAGCAAACTGACTAATGAAGAGACATCTGTCTCTCTCTCTCTCTCTTTTTTTTGGGGGGGGGTCCGCTCCTGGGGCCAGAATTCTGGACCTGGGTACTGTCCCTCAGCTCTTCAGCTCAAGGCTAGAGCTCTACCACTTGAGCCACAGCGCCACTTCCTGCTTTTTTCTTTTTGCTTATGTGGTGCTGAAGAATCGAACCCAGGGCCTCAGGCATGCAAGACAAGCACTCTACCACTGAGCCACCTTCCCAACCTGTCATCTCTCGTTTTTTGAGAACTCATTCAGTAGAACTGTTGGTGGGGTGCTAGAGCTGTTGCATGCAGTGTTATAAAGTCTGAGATTCTTAAAGCCAAGTCTTTTTGTATTTCTGTTTGCGTGTCTTTTCATATTACTACCTGAACCTGTAGAAGGATTTGAAATTAAATGTATATACACTCACATAAGAGTAGCAAGTATATTCCCCAAATGGTAAAATAAGTGTATGGGCCAGGCACCAGCAGCTCATGCCTGTAACCCTAGCTAGGAAGCTGTGATCTGAGAATTGCAATTCAAAACCAACTGTAGACAGGAAAGTTCATGAGATTCTTAATAAACACCAAAAATCCAGAAATAGAGCTATGACCCAAGCAGTAGAATGGTACCTTTGAGAAAAAAAGCTGGGGAACAGTACCCAAACCCTGAGTTCAAGGCCCAGGACCAACATACTCACCAAGTATATGCCTAGTCTAGAAATTATAACAGCATCTGAAGTGAATTCACCAACACTTCCCAAAGTGACTAGAGGAAACCATATAACAAGATTTTATACTCTGGATTTCTTAATTCTAAGTGCATTTGAATCTACCATTTCAAAAACATCAGCTTTTCAATACCCCCTAGACATTTTGCTTTCTCTTCAGAATCCATGATTTATGGGAAAATACACTAAACAATTACACTAAATATATAAGTGACATTAGAATTTTAATGTAATTCACAATTTTATGCTGAAAAAATGGCTTAAATATAACTATGAAAAGTCCTAAATTGTATTTATCCTTAAAATTTTGTATCAGTTTATAGGTTTGTTTGAAGGATAGGCTGTGTTTTTAAAGTACTTGGTTTTGTGGATTATTCTGTTAAAATACCATGTACTTTACATGGTATTTTTACAGCCATTTTACATATAACAAAAAGAAAATCTGTCACTGGAGAATAAAACTTACAGAGGGGGGACTGGGAAGGTGACTCAGTGGTAGAGCTCTTGCCTTGCATGCATGAAGCCCTGGGTTCAATTCCTCAGCACCACATAAGCAGGGGAAAAAAAGCGGGAAGTGGTGCTGTGGCTCAAGTGGTAGAGCACTAGCCTTGAGCTGAAGAGCTGAGGGACAGCGCCCAGACCCAGAGTTCAGGCCCACGACCAGACCCAAAAAATAAATAAAATTAAAAAAAAAACTTACAGATATTCTTTTATTGTTTTTTAACAAGTAGTACATTTTGATGTAGTGACATAGTTTCAAAAAATATCAAATGACTTTAAAACAAAGGTCATGTAGATTGTTGTATTTATTTCTGTATTAGGACTTGAACTCAGGAATTGGCACTTTTCCTAACTTTTTCACTCAAGTCTGGCACTCCACCACTTGAACCACATTTCAGCATCCAGCAGTAAGAGTCTCAAGTGTGTGTATGCAGGCTGCTTTCAAACCTCAGACCTTAGATCTCAGCTTCTTGAGTAACTAGGATTACAGGTGTGAGCCACTGCTACCTGGCTAGGTCATATAAACTAAAGGTAGACACAGCAGTTTTTACTTATTTTTGATGGTACTAAGGACTTTGCACTTGCTAGATGGGCACTTTACCACTTGAGCCAGGCTTCCACCTCAGGACAGGGAAATTTTAGAAGGGACTGAAAAGCAAAGAATGGGTCTTTCTTGTTTTGTTTTTTTTGGGGGTCCGGTTGTGGGGCCTGAACTCTGGGCCTGGACGCTGTCCCTCAGCTCTTCAGCTCAAGGCTAGTGCTCTACCACTTGAGCCACAGCGCCACTTCCGGCTTTTTTCTTTTTTCTTATGTGGTGCTGAGGAATCGAACCCAGGGCCTTGAGCATGCAAGGCAAGCGCTCTACCACTGAGCCACCTTCCCAGCCGAAGAATGGGTCTTTCTATGCTTTCTTTAAAAGACTTTTCTACAACTGTTGTAAATGGGTTTTAGTTTTCTTAGATTTAAAATTAACTTCTTTATACTTGAATTTTGTTTCTCACCATTGTAAATAGGAATATATTCAGATGCTAATGCCTCCACTCATCCAGAAATGGAACATGTTAAAGGATGAAGATAAAGATCTTTTCCCTTTACTTGAGGTATTGTAATCTACTGATACTTACTTAAGCTGGTGCATATTTTGTCAAAAACATGTCTTCTATTCCAAAATGGGTATATATAATAATAATTAAGTCTATATTCAGAAACCTTTCTTTTTAAATATTGAATAAGGGGAGGGGGGAGGCTGGGAAGGGATGGGAAGGGTAAACAAAGGAGGAGGCTGCAATGCTTGGTAAGAAATGTACGCATTATCCTGCCCATGCAATTGTAACCCCTCTGTACAGTATGTTCACAAATAAAATAAAAGAAAATTTAAAAAATAAATAAATAAATATTGAATAAGTAGTTACGGCTTATTTTCAGACACATCTATGCTAAGAAAAACTGTTAAGTAGAAAAGGTATACTATGTATGTAGTTTCTTAAAAAGTACATAAAGGATTGTATTATGTGATTTTACTGTCCTCTGCTTATAATGTCTAGTTGCTATTTTAAGCAAAAATATTATTTACATGAAATGTAACAAACAAAGCTACCTGAATTGACAGTGATAGGCCAGTCACTTTATCTTTATTTCCCTATTTATTTCAAGGATCACCAATTTATGCCATGGATTGTCCCTAGCCAGAGAAGTGAAACTGTGTTCAAGGAAATAAGAATTGTGGCTCATTTCATTTACTTTATATATAAGTGCCATGTAAATAGTTGCTATACTGTATTGTTTAGAAAAATCTGAATATATTCAGTTTAATTTAAATTTGAGGGGCAAAAAAAAAAAACCACATGAAAAATATCCTTGAGGATAAAATTCACTGTAGAAACTTACATTTTTTTCCCCAATAGATTGTTACTGATTGACAAAATAGTGACACCAAAGAGGAAAGGTTTGGAAAGATAAAACCTGCAACTTTAGTAGTAGAAATCAAGCTCATAAAAGAATGACTACAATCCTTTAGCATAGTTTTGACTATTTTTCATTATCTCAATTATACTCAGAAAATTTAGCATGTGCAATTTATTCTTTCTAGTGCCTATCTTCAGTTGCCACAGCCCTACAGTCTGGCTTTCTTCCCTACTGTGAACCCGTGTATCAGCGTTGTGTAAACCTAGTACAGAAGACTCTTGCTCAAGCCATGGTATTTTTCTGAACATCTTTACTTTCCTAACATTGTTCTAAAGATGGGCATAATATGAATAAATTTTTTAATAAAAGCAAAACATAATTTTCTTTCAGCTGAACAATGCTCAACCAGATCAATATGAAGCTCCAGATAAAGATTTTATGATCGTGGCTCTTGATTTACTCAGTGGCCTGGCTGAAGGCCTGGGAGGCAACATTGAGCAGCTAGTAGCTCGAAGTAACATTCTAACACTAATGTATCAGTGCATGCAGGTAAGCCATGTAAGATTAAAATTAACTGAAACCTTATTCTTTGTGTCATATTGGAGTTAATTTCTTCTTTTTCTTGTAGGATAAAATGCCAGAAGTTCGACAGAGTTCCTTTGCCCTATTAGGTGACCTGACTAAAGCTTGCTTTCAGCATGTTAAGCCTTGTATAGGTATGAGTATTTTTCAATATGGTTATTAAAAGTTATTTTTGTATCCCATTTCTAGCTAAATTTTATAGAGTTCTAACATTGATAGAGGTACACTTACGAGTGTACATTTTACTGCTGGTTAAAGTTGCTGTGATTGAAAAAAGCAGGATGTTTGGGGTCCTGAGCTCCTGAACTTTAGTAGCCCTTCAGGCCCTGCTGTGTGACTGGAGGGAAGTTTTCCAGTATAGCACATGCTCACTGCAGGGAACCTTGGTACTGTATGCCAGCTCCTTTTTAGTAGAAGTACCCAGAAATAGTAATAGCCAAGTTTTCTTTACTATACCAGCATTCACTTTCAAATATGTTGGGAAGCCTCAAGTACCACTTTTTTTTTTTTTTTTTGGGTCAGCCGTGGGGCTTGAACTCTGGGCCTGGGCACTGTCCCTCAGCTCTTCAGCTCAAGGCAAGCGCTCTACCACTTGAGCTACAGCGCCACTTC